AAGATATATATTTATGCACTGAAATATGAGCCCCACAATGACATTTTTTTACAATCATATTTCTCACACACAGGGTAATTAGCACTTACATTTTCAAAGTACTCTACAAACATTAATAGTCATTAAACTAACTTACTCTTGATGGATGATATGATCACTTAGATGGAATTAGCTGGAGGTAATTGAAACTGACTATAAATATGAAAATAATTTACATTTTCTGAAAACTGTCATTCTTTCATAGAAAAAAGTATCATGTGCCTTTTAAAAATGAAATACCTTTGATGGGGCAAGTAAAACTGCATATATATATTACAGTCGCAGTTATAGTGCTCTACACCTTCAACATTCTTTGTAAGAACTAAATGTCAAATCCTTACAAAAGCCCTAAAAGTTTGAAAATAGTATTATCTCACTTCTATACATGGGAAATCTGAGAGAGACGTAAGTAATTTACCCAGGGACTCAGTATTAGCACCAAAATTATAACTCAAGAGTTTCTAGGTCCTAGTCTTCTCCTCAGATCAGTAGACCATAGTCATCACATTTAGCTCCAATAACAGAGCTTAAAAACAATCTGAAGGAACTTAAACTTCTAAATATCTTCCAAAATATGCACAATGAAGTTAACCATGATACATCTGTATCTAATTTACATTTAAATCTTTATTTTGTAGTTGTATTGAAACACCATTCTTTTTTTCTAAGCTTGCAATATAGATGAGGATGAACTGGATATTGGGTTTCCAGTCAATGTTTCTTTTTTGCATGTGCAATAAATCCCATACTGGATCTGGTGCCATTTTGAATGTCTGAACCAAAAGTAGCAACAGAGCCAGAAACCTTTACTTAACAAGTTTCCCTTTAAGTTCATTAGTTCTGATTAAAACTTGATTTGTCTGACCTTACTTTTAGCTTTATAGTGTGTGTGTGTGTGTGTGTGTGTGTGTGTGTGTTTCAATTTGTCACATCACTGTCTGGACAAGATGTAAGGCTATGCCTTGCACCCGAAAAGGTCAAATGAAGTAATTCAGGGCCAATTAATAACAGGTTCACTTTCAACTCCCTTTGTTTGATGCTTTCAAATGCCTTTAATCTTTGCCTTCTAGCAGCTGCTTTGAACAGATCAGTCGGGGTCCACTCTTCCCAAGAAAGCAGGAATTCTTATTGCAGCTTACTGCACAGTGGAGCAGTTGCCACCAGAACCATTAAAACCTTCTGACTGGTATTTTACAGGGGATCTTCCCATTTGCTCAGCTGTTGTTGAATTCATCAACAAACCTGGGATTCCAGAGGCACCGACGGAGCAGAAATCCAGTCCTGAAATGCAACGCAAGTCAGTCACAAAACTGCCTCTTTGCTTCAGAAAAATGCACAGGATGCTGTGTACGTGCAGAGATGGCTGGAAAGCATATTACAGGCAGTCTGTCTTTTTAGCAGGCTTGGGTTTAGCCTTCTTGTACACCACAGTGCTTGGCTTTGACTGTATCACTACAGGGTACGCCTACACGCAGGGGATCAGTGGCTCTCTTCTCAGCATACTCATGGCTCTTTCTGCCTTCTCAGGACTAATGGGCACAATTTTGTTTACTAAGCTAAGGAAGCATTATGGCTTGGCTGTCACAGGAGTCGTATCCAGCCTCCTCCATGTAAGCTGTTTAATGCTGTGTGTGTTTTCAGTCTTTGCCCCCGGCAGTCCTTTTGACTTGGGTATTTTCTCTCTTCTCACAAGTAAGAACTCTTCCTTAAACCACAAGACACTGCAAAAGAACCAGCTGCATATTTACCCATTCCAAAGAAACATCAACCAACCCATACTGCCAGATCGTTCTTCAATTCATTGGACTAATAATACAGTGCTGTTGGACAGCGTGCATGGGAGCGATCACCCAGAATCCTATATTTCAATCATTCTCTTGTTCTCAGGAGTGATACTAGCCAGAATTGGTAAGTATACATGAAATTTGCCACCACATGCGGAGTCACTTCACTGGGTAAATGATTCTATGAACAAAAAACAGATGTGATGATCTCTCTGATACGTATGGCCCACATCATCATAGTATTGACTGTTTCACAGTCTAATATATTTATTCTCACCACACCCCTGTTAGATAGGGAAGTGCTGTTATCTCCGTTCTACAGATGGTGTCGGGATTCTGGGCGAAGGTAGGCAGGACTAGTGGCAGGAGCTTAAGAGCCGGAATCGGAAGCCTAATCTCTCTAATCTAATCTTAAGAACAGAATCATTTGAGCAAATGGACGTTCCATTGGCTTAGAGCCAGTCAAAAAAATCCCTCAACATGAAAGCACAGAATGTACAACAGCAGTTGTGCCAGACTGCTGTATGCTTAAATATGTAAGTAGCAGAATTAGTGATTAGTACTTAAGGTAAGAAAATTCAGATAATTTAATATGAATCTCCTCATAGGTAGCACCATTCCACAATCAAAGGTTTGTAAGTGGGGGGGGGGGGGGGGGGG